CATGGGAATCGTGTCTCTGATGGGACTTGTTTGTCATAAATGCTCCCCCTGATGCCTTAAGTTTTAGCTTTCATATTTTCCGGATTCTGTAACTCTGAACTCCATATAAAGTGTTCCCAGTTCTCCTCCCAGCTCAGGCACACAGAACAATCCTTTTCCAGCCCCACAACCAAGGACAGCTGCAGCTCCAGCCCCAAAAAGTGCAAACTGCAGAGAATTGAGGAGAGAATCTGGGAGGATGGGACTGCAGAACCTGGAGCTGGGATTGGACAATGAACCCCAATATGGAAATGGACCCAAACTTATAAAAGTGTGAAAACTCCTGACCCAGGGTCCATCTTGGGTGTATCCTCAGCCAGGCTCTTGCACTGCCCAAGGTGAATCCTTTAAAAGCCTTTTGATAAATCCCTGCTTTATTCCTTTAACTCTGTCCAGCCTCTGTTCCAGGGAGCCTCTCCAGGCTCCCCCCCCGCAGTGCTGGGGTTTGTCAGTCGTTCCAAAGGCATCCCCCCTGCTCCCTGGGGCTCCTCTCACAGCTTCCATCCCATCCCATCCCCTCCCCACTCCATCCTTCTGCTGCCTGGGACCTGCTTGTCCCCCTCTGCCTCCAGCAGCAAGCTCAGACTCGTGGTGGAAAGATTTCCTTCAAGGCTGAGAGAACACTCCCAGTCCTTGTCCCACAGGGACTTCTGGAGTCCTTACATTCTGTTCCAAAATTTGGAAATGCCAGTGGGCAGCATGGCCAGAGCAGGAGGGTTTCTCTGGGCTCTCTTGCAATAAGTTGGTCTGGAAGCAGAAAATGGACTTGGAGTTGAGTTCAGCAAAACCACAATTAAAAGAGATGGGAAGAATGATTGAGTTTGGGAAAGCCCTCCAAGCTCATTAGTGAGATGTAAAGTGAGGAAATGGATTTTTCTCCTGATGATCCCGGGACTTTGGAAGCAGCAAACAGGGTCAGCAGGGGTTGGAATGAGATGATTTCATGGTCCCTTCCAGCCCCAACCGTTCTGTGATGGCTGGAGCAGGGCAGTGTTGAGGCTGCACGGTGATGAGGCCATCACTGCTGTCAAACAGGGAACTCCTGGAGGGAGAAGCTGTGGCTGCCCCTGCATCCCTGGCAGTGCCCAAGGCCAGGCTGGACAGTGGGAGGTGTCCCTGATGATTTTGGAACTCGATGTTTTTTAGGGTCCTTCCCACCCAAACCATTCCAGGATTAATGCTTTTTGTCGGTCAGAGCTGAGTTGTGTCTCTCAGACTCTGTCCTGTGGCACAGCAGGATTTTATTTATTTACACACGGTGACTAAAAGTGACTCAAGTGATCTGATACGGGATTCAAAGGGCAGAGGAGAGGGGAGAAGGCACTTGAGGTGTATCTGCTCTTTAAAGGTGCGTCTGTTTCGTTCAGAGCCTCTTTGATCATTCCTGGTTCTTCTGGATCCGCTCGTCTGGCAGCACAGAGCTCCTGCTGCAGCTGGAGGTGTGAACTGCTTTGTTTATCTCAGAGCTAATACGAAACATTTCCTGGAGAGCACACTGGCTGTTATCGGGGCAGTGCACGCTGCTCTGGGGCTGCTCCTCTCCCGCCTGTCCCCAGGGCTGGGCGTGCTCAGCACAGCGAGCTTTGATGGTGGATTAGCAAAGCCCCAGTGAGGCAGGACACGACAGCTGGGAAACACCTCCAGGGTCAGGGAGTGCAGCCTAACGCTGGGCTCTGGGCCTTGTTCTCTGGGATTTGGGTCTTTGGGGGTTCTGGGACTTTGGGAGACCCGTGTCCAGCATAGGGAGCACTGGGGCAGGAGAGCCCTGGAGGGGCTGGAGGTGTCCAGGGAAGGGAACGGAGCTGGGCAGGGGCTGGAGCCCCAGGAGAGGCTGAGGGAGCTGGGAAAGGGGCTCAGCCTGGAGAAAAGGAGGCTCAGGGGGGACCTTGTGGCTCTGCACAACTCCCTGACAGCAGGGGACAGCCAGGGGGGGAACAGGGACAGGACAAGGGCAAATGGGCTCAGGCTGGGCCAGGGCAGGCTCAGCTTGGACAGCAGCAGCAATTTCTCCATGGAAAGGGTGCTCAGGCCTTGGCAGGGGCTGCCCAGGGAGCTTTGCAGTGCCCATCCCTGGAGGTGTCACCTGGATGTGGCACTCAGAGCTCTGGGCTGGGGACAAGGAGGGGATCAGGCACAGCTTGGGCTGGATGGGCTGGGAGGGCTCTTCCAGCCTCAGGGATCCTGGAATTCTGTGCCTGTAACACTCCTGCAGCAGGGAATTCTGCCCAGGGCAGGGGTGGATTCGCCATCCCTGGAGGATTTAAAGCCCTGTGGATGTGACACTTGGGGACATGGGGCAGTGGTGGCCTGGGCAGTGCTGGGGTATGAGTTGGACTTGGTGATCTCCAAGGGTTTTTCCAATCCAAACGATTCTGTGGTTCCAGGAATGTCCTGGAGAGCAGAGACTCCTGGCAGGGCTGGTTGATCTTCCCCAGTGACCCTCCCAGAGCAGCCCAGCAGGATCTGCAGGGCTGGCAGGAGACCAGGCCTGTCCAGCCTCACCCTGCTGGGCTCCAGGAGGGCATGGGGAGGGTTACCTGGGACAGGAGGGACAGGAGGACACGGGAAGGGTTACCTGGGACAGGAGGGACAGAAGTGGAGCAGCTTTTCTGCCCTCTGGCTGCTGGGTTTCCCCAAAATAAAGACAAATAATGAATTGTGCTGCTGCTGCAGTCGGAGCCACACGGGGCTGGTGAGGAGCACGTCCAGGGAGGGAGGGTCAGGGTGACAGCAGTGACAAAGTGCACAGGCAGAGTTTGGTGTGGTAGCCATGGCCCTGAGCTCCCTGTGAGTGCACTCCCAGCACTGCTTCACTTCTCTCCTGCTTGTGCCTCCTGCAGTGAGAAGGTTGAAAGCACTGATGGAAATGGAGATATCCTGAATTTCTGGCCTTCCCTGGGCTCCCAGCCCTGGGGTGAGCTGTGGGAATGAACACAGGAGAGGGAGGGATGGAACCCAAGCCTGCCCTGGGCTGGCTGAGGTCACCCTGTGAACACATCCACGCTGGATCCTTGTGCTGTGGTGTCTGGAGTTAGAGCAGAGCTGGGTGAGCCCTGAGGCTGTAACAGTGCAAACAAATCCCACTTGGATCTCACAGAGCAGCTGTGGCTGCCCCTGCATCCCTGGAAATGTCCCGGGCCGGGCTGGGCAGGGCTTGGGTTCACCTGGGGCAGTGGGAGGTGTCCCTGCCATGGCAGGGGGGTAGAACAGGGTGGACTTTGGGGTCCTTTCCCACCCAAACCATCCCAGGATTCTGTAAAAGTCACATTTTAACATCACTTAATACGGGACTTTCCAGGATGGGGCCATCAGCTGGAGCTTCCAGAGCTGAGTGGAGGGATTTGTTCTGGGAGCAGGGAGATGCTGCAGCTCAGCAGGGGCCCTGAAAATCCAGGAGAGCTGGGCTGGGGTACCCTGGTGTTCCTGGGGGGAGTCACTGGGGGACAGGGTCCTGGGGGAGCTCTGGGTTCTGCACAGAGCTGAGTTTGGATAATCTGGTGTTCCTGGAGGGTATCAGTGGGTCCTGGAAGGGTTCTGGTTCTGTACAGAGCTGGGTTGGATACCATGGTGGTTCTGGGGGGTTCTGGTTCTGCACAGAATTGGGTTTGGATACCCTGGTGTTCTGGAGGGAATCAGTGAGGATATGGGATATGGGATATGGGATATCCCACAGTCCCTGGTGTTCCTGGAGGGAATCAAGGGGTCCTGGAGGGGCTGTGGGTTCTGCACAGAGCTGGGTTTGGATACCCTGGTGTTCTGGGGGTTCTGATTCTGCACAGAGCTGGGTTTGGTGTTCTGGGGGTTCTGGTTCTGTTCAGAGCTGGGTTTGGTGTTCTGGGGGTTCTGTTCAGAGCTGGGTTTGGGGTTCTGGGGGCTCTGGGGGCTCTGGTTCTGCCCGTGTGCCCAGGGCAGCAGTGGGAGGTGCTGCTGTCGCTCTGGGTGTCCTGGGCCCGGCCTAGGCCAGGCCTGGCCTTTGATGTGCTGGGCTCGGCTCAGGAGCTGATGGTTAAGGCAGGAAAGGAGGCATTTCCTGCCCATCCCCCAGCACCAACACGGCCTGAAATATCCAGTGACGTGTGGGGAGCGGCCTCTGCACGGCTGCTGCTGCATCTCCTGCACGGCTGCACCTCCTGCACTGCTGCTGCACTGCTGGTGCTGCACTGCTGTGGGTTCCTGCATCTCCCTGCAGTGCTGCAGCTGCACTGCTGTACCTCCCTGCACAGCTGCAGCTCCTGCAGCTCCTGCTCTGCAGCTTCACTGCTGTGGTTCCTGCAGCTCCTGCACGGCTGCAGCTGCACTGGTGCCTGCCCAGCCCCCTTGGCAGGCAGCACAGGTGTCCCAGGGCGCTGGGGCCCGTGTACAGAAATCCCATTCTCAAACGGCCCCAGCAGTGTCAAACCCCATTTCCCTCAGCTTTAGTTTGAGCCACACTGCTCAGTAACTGTGCCAGCCTAAAGATTTGGGGGTTTGGAAACGTGTCTGGGCACTTCCTGCTGCAGATCCTGCCAGCACTGCATCTCATTCTCCAGGGAATGTCTGAGGGCTGCACACTGCAAATAAAATCAGGATTGCACTGGGAGAATCCTTCAGTCAGTCACTGGAACCTCTGTTCTCCTCCAAGGTTGATGGGGAGGGGTTGAGGGTCTCTGGTCCTCCCAATAAAATCAGGATTGCACTGGGAGAATCGTTCAGCCAATCTCTGGAACCTCTGTGCTCCTTCAGAGATGCTGGAAAGGTGTGGAGGGTCTGTAATTCTCCCAATAAAATTGGGAATTGCACTGAGGCCAATCCCTGGAACCTCTGTTCTCCTCCAGGGGTGCTGGGAGGGGTTCAGGGTCTCTGGTTCTCCCTGGGTCGTGTCCTTGGAGAAATCCAAGCCATTAAATGCAGGTTTTTGGTTGCATTTAAATGTAAATTCAGAATGCAAAGGAGTAACTTCTCAATCTGCTCTTGCTTGCCAGGTCCTGGAGAAATATCCCAACACCCCCATGAGCCATAAAGAGATCCTTCAAGTGATCCAGAAAGAAGGCCTGAAGGAAATCAGGTGAGTTGAGGAAAGCAGGAGCACCCCCTGGGGCTCCCAGTGGTTTTAGTTTGCTGTTAAGCCCCAGCTCCTGAGGAGTTCTGGCACTGAAATGTGGCAGGTTTGGAGTCTGGGTTTATCTGTTTGTGAGCAGCTCCCAAGGGCTTTTCCCCCATAAAAAGCTGGGGAAGGCTCATCCCTGATCCCCTGGTGTGCAGGACTTGGCTGCAGATCTTTTTTAGGATAACCCAGCCCTGCTCAGGGGTTTCAGGCTCCAGGGACTGAAGAAAACATAAAAAATTCTGATTTTTTTCCTTAAAAATGAAGTGAATGGTCAGTTTGACCTAAGCAAAACTCAGAGTTACCCAGGGAGTAACAGAGCAAGATTCTCACATAGAAAATTTAATTCCTGGTGCTGTTGTCCTTTGTGTGATTATTCCTTAGGGACATTCCTAAGGAGAACCTTTAATAAAACCTTTATTAAAGGAAAAGTCCTGCCAGGGAGGGAGTAAAAGCTGCCAGGTGAGTGTGTGGGGCTCTGCAGGGTCTGAATCCTCCCACTGGGAGTTCTGGGAGAGCCTCTGGCAGGGGGTGAGGGGGTGTGAGCCTGTTCTCAGCTGGCCTTTAATCAATAATCAATAATAAATAAATAAACCAAAGTGCCCAAACCAAAGATACCTGTGCTGGCTTTTCCTCTCCATAACCAATAACATTCCATTTTTAACTTGGATTTTATGGAGAGAACCATCCTGGGAGCCTCTGGCCAAACACAGGAGCTGGTTTTACCCAAAAAGTGGTGAAAGAAGGAAATATTTTGGGATAAATAAATATTTGGGCTAAATAAAGCATCTCCTCCTTCAGCCCTGCCAGCTGTGACTTTGGGGTGTGCTTGTTGTGGGTTTTAAGTCCCTCACATCCTGGGAGGTGAGGAGTTAAACATCACCTTTCCCATCAGGAGTTTGGAAATCCCAGGTTCAGTGAGCTGAGAACAGGTTTGGGGGTGACAAGAGATTTTTCCAGAGGCTGGGAATGATCCCTGGGATGAGCTTGGGCAGGAGCAGCTCCAGGGCATGGGGGGAGAGCCCCAGGTGTGGTGTGGAGGGTTTGGAATTGCAGTGGGATGGGAAGAAAATCAGGAATTTCTGATTTTGGGGGATTTATGCCACGTGCAGGACAATTTGGGGATTTTTGGACAAGAACAGGGCTTTGATAAGATTGTTTTGTGGCTGTACAGAGCCCAGAGGGATCCTGACTGAGCTTTAAAAAGTCCTAAAATCCTTTAAAATTTAGGATTTTACCCAAGGGATTTTAGTGGTGACATTTGTCAAGGTTGAGCCTGGATTCCTCAGACATCCCAGAGCTAAAATCCCATTTTTATGTGAACTGGTCCCTGCTCTGGAATGCCTGGGCTTGATGGGATAGCTGAGTCAGCAGCAGGGAATCACTTTAAAATCAAAAATGTTCATTTATTGTTGGATTTCCTTGCTCTCCCTGGGCTTGTTAAGGTCAGTGTAAGAGCTCAAATCAAAATGAGTTTTTTGGGAGATACCTGTGCTGGCTTTTCCTCTCCATAACCAATGATCCTCCATTTTTAACTTGGATTTTATGGAGATCACCATCCTGGGAGAGAACCAAGCACAGGAGCTGGTTTTACCCAAAGAGTGGTGAAAGAAGGAAATAATCAAAGCCCTGAGCCCATCTCTGAAATGAGACAGAGACAGCAAATATCCATGGGATTTCTGACATAAAAATCACACTCTTGAATCACTTTTTGAGGGGAAAAAAAGCCAAGAATCCGAATTTCCAGTGTGCCAGGAATGTCCAGCCTGGCCTTGGGCACTGCCAGGGATCCAGGGGCAGCC